TCTCGTTTTAAGAGTGTTCAGAGTGTGATAGTTTGCATTAAGATCAGCAGCCAGGTTTGCAGGAGGATGATATCTATCAAAGACATTCCGTAGAACCGTTGTTCCACCATCAATAAGAAGTCTGCTCAGCTTGGCTCCATTTGTCTTCGCTACAGAGCTGGCCAGAGGTGAAGGCGCAGCAGCAGCCATGTTTATCCAGATACACTGTAGTGAGGCTTACATGAAGTTCCTTGACTGTACCTGTGTGTAGGAGACACGTAAGAAAATAACTTCATTTTCTTTTATTACTAAGCAAGCCTGTCACTGGTACATGTAATCAATTAGTCAATTTGTAGATGTGAAAATAAAGTTATTGTATATTAAGTAATGTGCTTCATGCTTGATTTTCATTGTCTCACACAAGTAGTGGAATTTCCATTAAAAGAAGTTTGTAAATATTAATCGGTAAATTTCATGTGTGCTTGTTAGCGTCTGAGAGCTGTCACATCAGACAAGAGATTTTGACCTGGACAAAATAAAATTTTATTTTTTCGTGCAAAGGTTTATCAATTATTTCTATCTTAAAATCTCTTTCTAGTCTGTCAAGTGAAGGACGTTCATAATGCCATTTCCTATACAACTTGTTAGCAGGCAACACACTGCAAGGAATTAAGTCTTGACTCTTAATCACGCTAGCTGGCTCATGCTTTTTTAATTATGTCCAGGTATAGCACAATTCCATAATTCCAGACACATTACCGCTCTCCCTGGGTACTTTTCTCAAAGATGCCGTACATATTACATATATGTTAAAGTATAAAGTTCATTAAAAAAAATTGATCACTCTGCATTCACTCCAAGCTATTAGCCCAAAATAAGAAAAGGTTTGAGTTTTGTCATACTATTTTCATGTGTGACAAGCGGAATGCTGAATTCAAGCACTTATGGCTTATCAGTAACCTAATATCGGGTTTGAACTCAGTTAACTTTATTTGGATTGAAATTACTAGACTGTGACACATTTCCAAAAACACTAGTTTACATAATTTAGCATTGCTCTTCTGTTCAATCAAGTGAGCTTGGAAACGAAACATCCCCAATGACATTCGGTAAAGAGGTAAAATGCTTTTTTATATCCTAGACGAAAAAAGTAAAGAAACATCTATTCCACATTGTTGATATCATGTACAGTTAAGGGCGAAGCAATAAGTTAAGAGGCACATACCAGTTATCACTTTATGACTTGAAGGTTTCTGGCAGGTAGTGCTTTTTTCAGTGTGTGACACAATCCTGAAGAAAAATGAACTAGCTTAACACAGATACATGTATGCTAAACAGGACAGGATCAAATAAGAAGAAAATACCTTCGTTAAGCTAGTTTCAAGTGTCTCGGTGTGGCCAGCTAATAATGAGGTGTTAAAGTGGTACTATGACGAAAATCTCATCTTTCTCTCGGCCTATCGCAACCATTTTAAAACATAAACAAGTAGCCTGTGCGAGAAGAAGAATGCTTTTTACGATATTCAAATATCTCTTTTTGTTCCAGAGATATTCAAATATCTCTTTTTGTTCTAGAGATATTCAAGTTTTTAAAATATGCAAATTAGCCCGGTGATTACGTCATACACTCAACCAAATTTTGATCAAATATCATGAAAAAAGATATCTCAGCCAATTTGTATCAGAAATGTTTGATTCTTTACAGTATGATTCTACTAAATGTGCTCCACAATATGAGCTTAACAGTTTGGTTACCATGGCAACATACTGGGTTCCAG